AAGCAGAGGTAATTGTGATTTTCTAGGGATCTGGAGAATGTGAATGCAAGAGAACATCTAGCTGGTTGGTCAGGAGAGGAATGAAGCTTTAAGCAGAGAACTGAGTGAAGTGAAGGGATTACTGTAGAAGGGAAAGATGCTTGATGAACAAGAAGGGATGAAATACACGGTCATTTGTGGTAAGTGGCACATATTTGGGTATTGCTTAGCATCTGTTCAGTCCCTTCACATTATTTCTTCTCAGGGAATATAATTTACTTGTATTTCATATAATTATTAAGGAATATCTTGTCTCTGCTATGTTGTAGCTGGTTTGTAGTTTCTTTCTGTTCTTTCTCCCTCTCTCTTAGACTTCTCTACAGTGCTTGTGTGATTTTTTTTTCTAAGAGTCTGTTTTGGTTCCTTGTTTATTATTATTGGTATATCTGTTACTGGGTTTTGCTTTGTGGTTACAGTGCAAATTAAGAAAAACATTACTGGATTAAAGTAAGGCATTTTGAAATGTGAGTGGGTTAAACACTGATCATAAAATGGGTCAAGTAACAAGAAGATAAGGGAGAGAGAGAGAAAAAAAAAGAGAGAACACTATATGTATATTCATCCATCCCCCTATTGTGAGTTTTGATGTCCTGTTATACTGACCTCATGCTCCTGTATTTTAGTTTTTCAGTTTTAGGGTCAGGCAGTTTTCTGTTATCTCTTTGAGTGTGCTTCTTCTCTCTGTAACATTGTGCAGACTCTGTTGAATCCCACACCCCAAGTGTTTGCTCTTCTACTGCTGTCCCAAAGTTGCGGTGCACTTTCCTTGCTCTTCATTCTATCTTTTTTACTTTCATTTGACAGTCTTTTCATAGCCTACTAATTACTTAGTCTATTAAAACTATTGATCCATTTATAGTTTGTGTACTTTCAGTTCAAGGCCCACTGATGTTAGTATTTAAGTCACTACAGTCCTCTTAGGTTTCTCTGATAAAATATTGAATTTTTTTCCTCTACGTTTCCTTGTAATTTGTTCAGTTTCCTTAAAGGCTTTTAAAAACTCCTTGGCTGTATAGATTGATTACTTTATAGTCAGTTATTGGGTACTTCATTTTGTCCATTCTTGCCTGTCCAAGGAGTTCTAAACAGCTGCTTTGTGGCCACAGCTATTTCATCTGTGGATGAGACATCTAAGTTCAGGTTTGCCACAAGCCACACTGGATCACTGCCACTGTCTCAGTATTATAAGGTGCTTGAGACCTCTGTTTCTTATAAATGCCTGGTTAACATGTTGTTGGGCAGCTGTTTCTGTAGTTCTCTCTAGGGTTGGGTGAGCTCAGATACCTCATGCACAGTTACTGATGTGTGGCCCGAAGCCATAGGCTTCTTCTGTCTCTTCCAGGACCTCATGGCAGAGGATTATTCATAAGCTCCCACAAGCCATCAATACTTCCATACTATTATGTCCAAATTCCAAACTCTTCTGGGCTCAAGTCAATGCAGTCTAGAGTCACAGTCCATGCTACTGCAGTCTGTTGGGGGTGTATTCTCACTTTGCAACTCCCGCAGCTACCCAAGTCTCTGTCTCAAAGTGGGACAGGTACAGAAGTTCTGCCTGTGGGGCTTTGGCCTTGGTGTAGAAATTTGAGACCTAATAGGCACAGTGTTGGGTGTTATCAGTTGGGCAGAATTCCAATGCAGCCCCATCCTCGCTTTGCAGTAGGCATAACATTCCTCCATGTGCTCAGTTGGGATAGTCCATTGTCATGCTAACATGACACCAGATAGGGCCAGAGCCCTGATTTTCTGAAGGAAGTCCTAGGTTTTACAGTGGCAGGCTTAGTATTAGGTTAAAAATCTAAGGACTAACTTGTTTCCTCCCCTGATGGGAAGAAGTATCTCAGTGTACTGCTTGAAGTTAGGGGGATAGCCTGGGAGCATTGTTCCTTTCTGAATTTTTCAACACTTCTTTTCTTACTATGCTAAAACCCACTACAATGGTCTCTCTCTTGTTTTCCTCAGCTCTTGAAAAAGTGTGAAAAGCTGTTCAACTTCATGCTTCGGTGGGAGACATTATTTGCTGTCACTTTGCTCTGCCCCTGTGTGGAAGGCAGCAACAAGATGTTTGGCAAATGCAGCCTATTGCAAACATATCAGGGAGTCAGTCTAATTAATCATAAATAATAAGTAAACCTGTGATATTGACTGACAATTTATAAAATCTTGAAACTATTACAGAACACAATTAATGCACTGTCTCATCAACATGCAATTATTCATTATTTAAAAGATTCACTCTGCTTGTTTCTTTTCTGAAAACACAGTTTTGAATGTTATTCTCTATTAATCTGTTCATATTATTGTTTTTTATGTTAAGAATGATAGTGAGGTAATGGAAATGTCATGTTTATGATTACTTTCATTTTCTGGAAGATGCCTTTAAATAAGATCATTCAAAGTTTTAAAGATTCGTTTAGAAAAGTGAACACTATGTTTCTACCAAATTTTAATTAAATACTACCAATTTAAAATGATTGTCCTGCTCTGGCATATAAATCTCTAAATGACAACAGAAAAAGTAAAAACTACAGAAATGTTCGTAAAATAATAGCTTTCTGTTGTGGAATTAAAATGTGTTACATTCAGAAGAGGAAACCTGCTTTCAGAGAATAGCAAATAATTTTTCATCAAATATAGACAGTATCCTAAGTTGCTTTAACTGGATTTTTCATCTTTTGGGCCCAACAGGATTTGGCTGCTGAAGCTGCAAAGGGAAATAGCCCATGTATTCTCTCAAGGAGTGATTTCATTTTTCTTTCTTTTCTTTTTTTTCAAATGCTTGGAAGATGGCAGGCGGAAGTGATCGCTGCTGATCACACATAATTGTGAATTCCTGTAGTTGCTACATGGTTTTACCTACAGCCAGAGTACTGTGCCATCCCCTTCCCGCCAGTGCTTCCTGGTAATAGAAGAAATAAACTGACAGGGAGGAGGCGAGGAATGATAAGACAGTGGGTCCATGTTCAGTTGGGGTTTGAACTAAATGATGTTCACAAAGTTTCTTCACAGCAGTCTTTATTAGCAGACTGACCGAATCCAGAGAGAGGGGAACTTGTACACTCTATGTTCAGCCCTAGGCAACACTCATTTCCATTCATAGTCCCCTGCAGACAAGTCACAATGGTCACAAACTGTCGTTGGCCTTAAAATGACGGGCTCAAAACATTTCTACTTCTTTCTGTACGGACACAAGCTTAATGATTCCAAGCACTCTGTCAGTTTTATTCCAGCTTATCTACACCAAGTTCTAAAAGTGGAGCACTTTAATATATCTCCACCCTCTGTATTTCTGATGCCCTGTCAAAAATATTTATGACCAAAGAAGTATTCCAAAAGCTGGAAGGAGTAAACTGGGAGAGGGGAATGTCTTTCTAAGTGAGATCATCAATCCCTGGAAAGCTGGGACTTGATTAAGTTTCCTTTGGGAGGGGGGGGGCTGTAACATGAATAATAAAAACCCAGTGACAGATATTGGGGTTTAAGCTGATGTTCAGAAAAGCAAAGCAACCAGGCCACTAGCTCTTAAGTCTACCTCAGAACCAAATAAGTGACACTGTCTCCACTAATCCTCAGAGTGAAATGCAGACCACAATTCCCTGAACTACAGACTGCAATTTCCTCCCCCAAGCCTCAGACTGCAATCCCATGAGTTCTTGTCTCCTCCTGCCTTATATTCCTCTCTCCACCCAGCCATATCACTCCTGTCTTCACCTCTCTTGTGCTGGGATTAAAGGTGTGGGATCCCAAGTGCTGATATTACCTTTGTGTGAGCTCTGTTTCTCTCTTAGACTGGATTAATGTTCAGTAACTCAGTGTGGCCTTGAACTAACACAGATCTGTCTGTCTTTGTCTCCCAAGTGCTGGGATTAAAGGTGTGTGCCACCACCACCTGGCCTTTATGGCTAGCTAGTATGGCTGTTGGGATTGAAAGTGTGTATCACCACTGCCTAGCTCTATGGCTGAGGATAGATTTGCATTTTGATCTCCAATGGCTTTATTAAATTGTATATAATATATCACCCCATGGGGCTGGAGGGAAAAGGGCCAGAAATGCTGGGAGCTGGCAAGATGACTCAGTGGATAACATTTTTGAATGCTATTCTCTATTAGTTTGTTATTTATTACATATTGCTGCATACATTTGGTGACCTGAATTCCATCCCCACAGCCAATGGAAAGGTAAAAGGAGGGACATGATGGCACAAAGTTGTTCTCTGACCTCTGTACACATGGTTGCACACATGCCCCATCCCCCGCACATACACCTCACAGGCACACACAATTATAACAACAGGCAAATAAAATAGGGTTAGAAATATTAGCAAGTGTATAACTTTGTGTCATCTGATTCTTTACAAGATATAGCATCTCCATGGAGTTTCATGTTGTCTGACACTGTGATGGTTCACCAAGTGTCAAGAGTAGGTTTTCCCTCCTGCCTGGTTCCAGAGCTGCACCAGCCCCAAACAACACACAGAGGCACTGTATTAGATATAAAGCTGTTATCCTATTCCTAGCATTTCTTATTGGCTAGCTCTGTCTTAAATATTAACCCATTTCTATCTAAGTATTTCCACCTGGTTTTATCTTACCAGAGAGAGAGCCTGGCGTACTACCTTTTTGGTTCTACATCTCGAAACTCCTCCCTACTACTTCCTGAATCCTCTTTGTCTCCTAGTCCTGCTTATCTTGCTTTCCTGTTGGCAACAGTGCTTTATTTATTAACCAATAAGAGAAACATATTTACAGAATGACATCTCCCATCAACCAAGTTCTCAACTCTTGTTGTGCTGCTGACCTTTCTAGAGATCCTACCAGGTGCCAAGAAGTCTAGTCAGGGCTTCATATGTTTAATGGAAATTAATCAAGAGAACTTTGTACAGTGTTTACTGATTTAGTCAATTTAATTTTTTTTACTTTAGATATCTGTTTTATTTTTATCTTTTTTTTTTAAATTTCAGCTCTTCTTTATGCAACTATTTTTGGAAATGTTACCACAATTTTCCAGCAAATGTATGCCAACACCAACCGTTACCATGAGATGCTGAATAATGTTCGAGATTTCCTGAAATTATATCAGGTCCCTAAAGGCCTTAGTGAACGAGTCATGGATTATATTGTCTCAACATGGTCAATGTCAAAAGGCATCGACACGGAGAAGGTATAGTTGATTGTTGTTATTATTGTTATTATTGGTAATCTGCTTAGCAGGATTTTTTGATGCATGTATATTCCTTTGTGTGATTGCTTTATAGATGTTACTATAGCTTTTATAAGTAACATTTCAATCAACCATATTTATTGAGTGCTTAGAAGGTGCAGAGCACCCAACCATTAACAATCAATTAGTGCCAGTCACAATATTCAACTGAGAAAATTTGGTTCCTGAAAACAGCTCATTACCCTATTTCTTTATGACATTCTCATTACCACTTAGTAATTTTCTGTTAAACTCTCAGAGCATTCTCCTATGAAATCTTATTCTTATTTTTGTATTTGACTTGCTGTCCATTTAAAAATTGCAGGAGGTTGGAGAGATGACTCAGCAGTTGAGAGAGCTTGCTGCTCTTGGTGAGGACTGGAATTATGTTACTAGCACCTATGTTTGGCAGCTCACAGCTACCTGTAACTCCTGCTGCAGGGAATCAGATGTCCTTTTCTGGCCTCTGTGGGTGCCTGCACACACATGTGTACACACACACCCACACCCCCCATATCACCCACACACATTTAAAATAGTATATTTTTAAAAGGAAAAAACAGAATGAAATTTCCCTGCTATGAGTGAAAAAAGTATATTATCTTCTATCGTATCTTCCTCTTAAATGTTTGTTTATCAAATGCATCATAAAGTAACTTATAATTCTTAATCTGCCCTTGATCTTTCATATATGTAATAGAGACATACCCCCTTTCCAGTCATTCCCATGTCTCATTTCATGTCTTTTTAAGGGAACTTCTAACTTTCCCACTTATTTTATTCTTGGGCAAAGAAGAACCAACATGAACAAATTAAAGTCTCCTCACTTTCCTATACCATCTGATTCACATAAAATATAAGTGATGGCAACTAGAGCTGGCATATAGTAAGTGAAAGCCAATCCTGAGTTATTTTACTTTAGCACCAGTGAAGACATAGACATTCTTTTCAGAGCACTTACATTTAACATCCGACAGTAAAATTGCAAAATACGTTCCTTGCTGTTTCTAGGTGGTATGTGCTTTTAACTTCTGAACCCTCCCAGACACATGTGCTTATGTGTGTTTGTGTGTGTGTGTGTGTGTGTGTGTGTGTGTGTGTGTGTGTGTGTGTGGTGCTCAGGGTAGTTGAATGGAAGAATTCTGAAGGAGTGAGATGTACTCCTTCTTTAGTATTTCACAATCTGCTGCACAAATGTCCCAGTCAAATGACTACTGAAGAAAGAGTAATGAAATCATATCTCTTTGCAACTTGGTTAATGCCCACTGATATGTGGTTAGTGCAAATACACACAAAGAGTGACAAAAAAATGCAAAATCACAAATGCAGGTAAGGATGTGAAAGAAAGAGAACTTTTATATTTTGGAATATAAATTAGCACAACTGCTATTGAGCATGGGATATTACCTCACAAAAGATAAAAGCAGAGCTAACACAGGATCTGTCTGTTTAATTTCTTGGTAACTACAAAATGGAAGTAAACCTTTCTACAAAAGAGATATCCATTCCCAGGTTTATTGTTGAATTATTCACAATGGTTATGATAAAGTGAATGTGCTTAAAGAAAAAAAAATGCAATCCTGCCATGTACAATAAAATAGATGGGGCTAGAGGGCAATATGTTAAATGGAATTAGACCTAGAAGACAAGTTACTCATGTTCTCTCTCATGCAGAGAAGGTAAAAAGACAACTTGAGCTTAGAATGGTGGTTATTAGGAGATGAGAAGGGAAAAGAGTTAAGTCAGAGGAGGTTGAATAAAGGTGTTGAATCACACTTTAGTTTGTTTTTGAGTGATGGGAAAGCAGATTTAAGTTGCTGTGACAAATCTAACATCTTTGCCATGTGTGTGTGAAACATACCATGACCATTGATCCCTTTCAGCCCATTAGTGAAATCCCCACTCAGATCAGATCCATGTTAGCTATGGCAATAGTGTATGTGATGAGAAAAGGATGCATGCCAAATTCTGAGCCAGCAGGGGGTGTGGGGATTCCAGTAATTACATCCTCAGTGAGACCGAGTGTAAAAACACTTCTTAGACTACATGCCATATGCTACCCAAACAAAAAGAAAACACAAATTTTCATCCACTTCCCTTATTTAAGTAAAGAATATAAGAACAGAGTAGAAGACTCTGGGCCTGCTGGACATCTAGTTAGCTTATAACTAGTGTACATAACATGTAACTTTAAAATACAACGGTAATGTGTTGAGATATTGGCAAAATGTATCTTGAGAGATGGTGCAGAAGTTAAGTGTACTACTGCTCTTGCAGAGGGCCCCAGTTCAGTTCCAAGCTTCATAACTACAAGTCACAAACATCTGTAACTATAACTCTAGGGCAGTGGCTCTCAACCTTCCTAATTCTGTGACCCTTTAATACAGTCCCTCATGTTGTGCTGACGCCCAACCATACAATTATTTTTGTTGCAACTTCATAACTGTAACTTTGCTGTTGTTATGAATCATAATGTGTGAATATCTGTGTTTTACACACACACACACACATACACACACACACATGCGCACATGCACACAGGCAAGCAAGCGCACATATGTATGCATACACACACACACACACAAGCAAGAGAGAGTGGGAGATTGAGAGAGGGAGAGAGGAGAGAGAGGAGACCCTCTACATTAATAAAAAAAATAAGCTAAGGAAATACTGAAAAAATACTGAAATGAAAATTCACAGCCAAAGTACAAAATCAGTTTTTATAATTTGTAAGATATTTTTATAATCAATAATATTGGACCACTTTGGCAAGTAAGTGTGACAAAGACATAGTAATGTTACCTTTAAAAAAATGTCACAATGGAAGGTGTTGGCACATACCTTTAATTATAGCACCAGGGAAGCAGATCTTTGTGAGTTAGAGTTCAGCCTGGTCTACAGAATGAGTTCCAGAACAGTGAGGACTGTTTTACAGAGAAATAATGTCTTGAAAAAAGCCAAAAGAAAAGAAGGAGAAGGAGAAGAAGAAGAAGAAGAAGTAGAAGGAGGAGGAGGAGGAGAAGGAGAAGAAGAAGAAGAAGAAGAAGAAGAAGAAGAAGAAGAAGAAGAAGAAGAAGAAGAAGAAGAAGAAGAAGAAGAAAGAAAGAAAGTTCATGTTGGTTTAGTAAAGTAGTGGTTGTAGATTCTTTCCCAAAAACTAGCACTGATTTCACTGACATTGAGTATTAGGTAGACTTTCAGTACCAGACATGGTTTCCTTCTTGTTGAATGGGTCTTAAGTTCAATTAGAGAACTGTTGGTTACCACTATGGTATTAATGCCACTAATGCACCCTTATGGTTATTGTTCAATGCTGATTGTTGATGTAGTTCATAGGCATCAAAGGTACATAGGACTCCTGGTTGCCTCCCTCCAGTGGAAGCTTGCATGGCACCTTCTGGTACTATGAAAGCTAGTCCTCAGTGATGGAGCATTCCAGTTACCAACATGACTGCCTAGATGGTGACACCAAATGAACATTCCAAACTGGGCAGGGAAAGGTCCATAAGGTCTCGACCATGCACAGAGAACTCTATGTAGCTGAGCAAAGCTATGTGTGAGAAAGGTGGTCTTCCCTAGAGAAGAGCACACAAATTGGTTTTCTAGTGACAAACAATCAGCCCTGAATACATTAAAGTAACATTATATGGCCTGAACAGGTTATATCTAGAACTATATATGTATATGCATAAATGTATGCAATAACAATAAGTGAAAAAGAAGCTGTGAATTTGAAGAAAAGCAATGAAGGATATGTGGGGTTTGGATGGAGAAAAGGGAAGGAAGAAATTTTGTAATTAAATTATGATCTCAAAAATGTAATCAAACAGGTGTGCCACTAGCAAACATAAAATGAAGCTTACTTTCATCTATAACAATAAAAATCAAGTCATTAGGAAGCTGTTTTTAACTTTGGGAGTCCATTTCACATAGAGGGATACTCTATCAGCCTAGACACATGGGGGAAGGCATAGGCCATGCTCCAAATGATATGACAGACTTTGAAAATCCTCCATGGAAGGCCTCACCCTCCCTGGGGAGCAGAAAGGGAATGGGATATGGAGTTAGTGGGGAGAACAGGGGAGGAGAGAAGAAGGAGGGAATTGGGATTGACATGTAAAGCAAGCATGATTCTAATTTAAATTTAAAAGAAAAAAAAGGAAGCCATTTTCAGTTAGATATAGAAAATGCCCAATTTTCACAAAGACTGCATTCCTTGGCTCTACCTTATAATTATTCTGTAAATTGTGGAAACGGGTTGCACATGTTCTAAAATAATTTGAGTGAGATAATATGCATCAGAGCTGGGACTAGAGCTCAGTCCCTGTGGCTTTCTACACTTTTTTCATTACAATGATTTCAGCCCTTGTCATGACTTTGGGACACTCAAGTGTCCCAATTCATCTCAGACCTGTTTCCTCAACTATTCTCTGCTTTTCATGCCTAATGAATCTGTCCAAATCTAGGCTCCTAGTTATCTTTGAAAAATACATTCTACTGGCATTACCCAATTTAGTTAATGGAAACTACACACTCTTGGTGCTAAGGACAAAATCCCACAATTTGAACCCTCTTCAAACCCTATCTGCTACCTCCAGTTCCCATCACTTCTATTGCCCCCACTTGACCCAAGTCATTATCTTGTCCCTCAAGAGATACTGCACTAGTTAACTGCTCTGTGTTTCTATGTTGAATGTTCTCTGCAGAGCAGCAAAGAATCTACCTGGCTTTTCTAATAAAGATTTCTGTCTTGTTGGTGTTCAATCTTTTTAATATACCTAAAATTCATGTTAATCTGTGCTACCATCACTTATAGTAGAGTCGATTGAAATTAAAATGTAAATGTAGAATGGTAAAATGAAAGGTGTGTAATCGTAATCATATTGACACTATAATTCTCATAATTTTGGAACTCTAGATGTATAGTACCAGAATTTATTTTTTAATTTAGATTTTATACA